ACTGTTTTTACCACAGAAATTCAGCCTTGGAGTGCACAAGAGTCATCTTTGAAAAATATTTTTAAAATGTTTAATTAATTTGGATTTTTTTTGTTTGTTTTTTTGTTTGAATGAATGATTCAATGACTCACTTATAAAGACTTCACTTATTTCATTACTGGAGAAATCTGAGTTTTTTTAACGAATCTTTGTCATTGAATGATTCAATGACAAATATATTTTTTAGTCACTTGTTGCCACAGTTCCGCTGTGATCGTACATGTCAAAAGTTTAATAGACATAGTCGAATCAGTGTCATTCAGGAATAAGGCCACGTGGTTGTTTGAATCGAGACCGTCTTTTAATGATTAATCACGCTGCTCTACAATGTAGTCAGTACAGATGTTGAAAAACAAACCAGTTCCAGTCTTGCTAGTATGTAGGCCTAACTAAACATGAAGGTCAAAGTCCAAACTCTGGTCAAAACTACAGATAGCAATGCATTGAGGGGCTTACGTGCCAACCAAACTATTGAGTTATTTATAGATGTATTTCAGTATTATTGTGTTACTAAATGAGCAGTATAAGGATGTCTTAGTTTAAATGGCAGTGCAGAGCTGTGTCACACAGTGAAGGCTGCGGCCTCGTTAGTATGTGACCCCGGTTTGGGATGACAGAGAATTAATTGTAGCAACAAGGTCCCGCCAGATCGGAGTTAAATGTTAATCAGGGGGGCGAGAACACCGCCAAGTTGCTGCAAAATGCCACTGGGAGTTTTCAGCTGCATGTTAATAAAATGACGTGATTAAAAAAAAAAATCACACTGTGTGGGCTTAAAAGGCTGCACAAATTCATTTCAAGCATAACTATTTATTTATTTTGTCTTTTTTTGGGGGGGGGCAGGTCTCAGCTGGTCAGTCATTAGAGACGCCATTAAATGCTAAACCGACAGCAGTTTTAATTCCAAAGATCACAAAAAGTTCAGTTAGTAATCTGCTTCCTAACTGATTTTGTGCACACAATAACAGGAAGCATCGTTTTATCTGCAAATGTCACAAATGGCTTTTTGACCACATTTTAATCATTTATACTTTATTCGTTTTGCATCTCAAACAATTTTATAATCATACATCTTCACACCTCTTTTTATAAGTCCCTAGAAGAGTCTCTTGATGCAAAAATGTAATAAGTAATACTTCATCAGTCTTCTAGTCTCAGCTCACCAATATCTAAAAATTTTATTTGTAAATTAATATGGATGCGGTTCAATGTCTATATGAGAGCAGAAATTCATTTCACTAGTCTGCCATCTACTGGAAAGATGAATAACCAGTTAGTGGTTAATTACATTTTTTTATTTTGATACCAATTTTGTGTAAAAATGTCTTCACATGTGACTGAAAGTTAGGTATACTGCATATTTTTGCAGAAATGTTGAATATGGGCACATTATATACTGCAGTACTGATGAGAGTATGCTATTCTGAACAGCCAGTCATTTAATGGGATTTCTAAATTATTTTAAATTATTTCTAATTCAGTTGTGCAATGAACAACAATAAGATAATCTATAAACAGAAAAAAATATTCCCTGTAATCTCACTGAAGGCATATCCAGCATTCATGAATCAATCACATTTTAGCAACCACAACAATTATTTACTCAATATTACCCATCCTGGTCTCTGTAAATCAAATACAGTCCATTACTATTTCATATTGTGTTGTAGGGCATTTCTACAGTATAGCATCCACTTGCCTTTTTCATTATTAGACGTTATTGTTTGTGCCTCATTTATGGATTAACAGATCTAGCAGGTGTTTTACGACTTTTAAAAAGTATATTACCGGATGAATAAAGTGTTTTTACTACACTCAAATGTGCCTCAGGTCTGCTTTATAATAGCTGCATTGCACTGTTGTTCATCTACTGCGGTAGAATAAACCATTGAAATATTGGGGCAACATAAGGGGTATTAACCTTCAGGCAAACCTTTAATACAGCCTCAGTCATGACAAGAAGCCAATTCATTTGAGCCTAGAGGGAATGGATTTGGATCAGAGTCACGACAGAAAATATGTTGGGGGAAAAAAGTAGTTTTCAAGGTTAGCTTGACCTCTGAGGGGAAAAAAACACAGTGCTAGGCAATCTTATTAAAGCACTATCCAGGTTTTTTTTTTTTTTTTTTTTACATCAGTCTCTTCTGCCAACCATATAACATGCACCTCTGATTACTGATCTAAGCGAAACTTTATTCTGACTCTGGAATTGTGTCAAATGCCTGCAATAAAGAGCAATGTCATGATTATACCTCACTCGAATCCAACTGTCTTATGCAAGGAATGCTGAGACTGCACAATAACAACATTAGTATACAATCATTTCCAGGGACTTTTACTGCCAAATGAACATCGCTACGCTATATAAGTCACAGCATGTTTTCATCTTATGAAATCAAAATATTGTTCACGGAGTCGCACGCTAAAATTCCATTACGTGCACTTACTGTCCTCGGTGTTATGGAATGATACATCTTCAAGTCAAGCACTTCAACAGACATTTTATGGACTATTACATTTGCATAAACAATGCAGCGGAGATTTAAAGTGTAACTTGATGCTGACAAAAGAACATAATCTACCTCTAGGGCATAGAAATGTCTATTGCCTATGAATAATATAGTGAAATCAACTGCCTGGCGTACAAGAATTCGGGTATGCTCCACGGTAAGAAACACTCTGCCAGTAGACTAATGCAGGACCGAACATAACTATCCATTATGTAATTTAGAAATAAGTGTAATGGAGAAAAAACATGTCATTCCTGATGAAGATTAAATGGAAAATCAAATTAAATGGATTCAGTGCCTTTGGTTTTGACATGCTCATGAATAAACATACAAACAAACACTGATCAACATCACTATAATAAACCAAATTGACTATGTCAATACAAAACGTTTTAATAAGATACATCCACTTATGACTAGGTGACAAGGACATTAACTCTATATACAGTTTATTGTTCAATTCAAATTAGGAAACCTGTTTAATTGTTCATGGGTTTTACTTTTTACCATTTAAAATAACTAAATTTGCTATTTTAAGTTCTCCGGCTTCCATCATTATTTTCTGTAACCAGTCATCCACCAATTTGTCATTTTTGATCATCAATGAATTTTGACAAGCACATTCGTTTTCATCATTAATCGTCTTGCAGCTCAGATCTGCAGCTAAAAGAGTTTATTTCACAAAAGGACTTGGCCTAGATTACTGTAATTATATGTATGCACGCCTGTCTCAATCTCATCTCCAGATGGTTCAGAACATGCCATTTATATATCTCCTCTATTAGAATCCAATTACATATTACAAATAGAATCAAAATTGATTTTAAGATTTCGCTTTTAGTTATAAAGAATGCCCGGTCTTTCTCCACAATATATTTGTAAACTCCTTCATCCATACTCTATAAAAACTTGTTTCCGCCATGCATTAAACAATAAAAAAGTAATTGTGACCCTTTTAATCTCACAATTATGACTTTTTTTCAGTAGTGTGAGTTTATATCTCGCCATTCTGACTTCATAACTCACAATTGCAAAAAACTCAATTGTGATATAAAATCACAATTGCGAAGAATTTTATAATATTTTTAATGTTTTATAACTCACAAGTATGAGTTTATATCTATAAACAATAAAAAAGTAATTGAGACTTTTTTTGTTTATATCCACCATAGCAAGAAAAAAGTCAGAATTGTGAGAAAAGATTTGTGAGTTTATCTCTCGAAATTACGAGTTTATGTCTTGCAATTCTGACTTTATAACTCACAATTGCTTGCAAGTTTATGTTTCACAATTTGGAGAAAAAAAGTGAGAATTACAAGGTTAAAAAGTCAGAATTAAACTCAATTGCGAGTTATAAAGTCAGAATTGCAATTCTGACTTTTTAACCTTGTAATTCTCACTTTTTTCTCCAAATTGTGAAACATAAACTTGCAATTGCAAGTTATAAAGTCCGAATTGTGAGATATAAACTCACAATTGCGAGAGAAAAAGTAAGAATTGCGAGAAATAAACACAGTAGCAAGAAAAAAGTTATTTAATATATATATAAAAAATGTTCTTATAAGTATATATCTCGCAATTCTGAGAAAAAAAAGTAACAATTGCGGGTTTAAAAAGTCAGAATTAAACTCACTATTAAATTGCAAGAAATAAACTCGTAATTGCGAGGAAAAATTATAAAAAATAACTCACAAGTATGAGTTTATATCTCAATTTGGACTTTATAACTTGCAATTGCGAGTTTATGTCTCACAATTCTGACTTTTTTTTATCTCGCAATTGCGGGTTTATGTCTCACAAATCTGATTTTCTTTCTCGCACTTACGAGTTTATATATCAAAATTCAGATTTTTTTTTGCAATTACGAGTTTATTTCTTGCAATTCTGAATTTTAACCTCTCAATTCTCAATTTTTTTCTCAGAATTGAGACAAACCTTGCAGTTGTGAGAAAAAAAAAGTCAGAATTGCAAGAAATAAACTTGCAATTGCAAGAGAAAAGTGAGATAAAAAAAGTCACTATTACCTTTGTTTATTTTTGTATTCAGTGGTTAAAACAAGCTTCCATAATACTCTGCCCCCAGGTCATGCAATCAGCTTCCTTCTGTCCCACTCATGCTGTAAAGGAGATTTCTCAGTTCTGGAACGGCTTCCCTGCTCACATCAGATCCTCCTCCTCCTCCACTGGCACTTTTAAATCCAGCTTAAAGGTCCCTTTTTATTCTTTAGCTCTTGATTCCATGCTAGATTTTTTTTTTTTTTTTTCTATTATCTAAATGTTATCTGACTTGACATGAAAACCTCTCTTTATGTGACAAGCTGATTTTTATATCCTTAAAATGTAATGATACGTGAAAATGTAGATTCAAATGTTTGGTGATAGAGTAGAAACATTTAGTCAAAAAAAATGTACATAAATTGTTATTACTGACTTAAATTACTGACTAGTTTGCAGCTGCCCTGCTTGTTCTTAAGTCAAATATAGTACAACGGCCAACGAGAAATGGCATGTGAAGGCTTCAGTAATCTCTCCCAAAGTGCTTATTCACTTTGGCGATAGAAATGTAAATCATTAGATTAACCAAAAAATACTGTTCCTTATACTCCATCTGCTTCAGCCTCATCTCCACCCTCCCCTCTGAGTCTTGGTATAGGATGGAGAATCTCTCGCCATCATAATCGTACGATACCGTGTCCTGATTTGCTTTGGTCATGACAACAGGTGCACTCACACACCAAAAAGGCTGCTTGGCTTCATCCCATAGAGTGAGGTTGATCATGCAACAGTCCTGGAGACACCAATTAGACCATGAAAATCCGTACATAAGTTTTGAAATAAAGTACTGTGAATTAAAAAAAAGTGTGGTGATACTGTACCTTGATAGTTCCATGTAAAGCTTCAGTCCTCCAAGGCAAGCTAACATCTCCAACCAGATGAGTATTTAGGGATCTGTTATTCTCACTGATCACTTCCAGTGGTAGATAACCATCAGAAATCTGATCTGGAGAGTAAAACAGAGGTATTATGCACTATGGTACTTCGTTACCAAAGATAAGATTTACAGTGACCCCAAAAATAAATATGGCCAGATTTACAAAACAGGGCAAATTAGTTTGAGACAATTGTGCTGCTTAATATTTGAGTTTTTTCAGGATTCTTTGATGCTTTCAAAGAATCCTGAGTATTTCAACTTTACGAATACCTTTTTAGGATGAATATATATCAATGAATGGTAATTAGGAAGATATGTGATATACACTGTAAGAAAAGTATTGTGAACATTTTTTTTTCCATACATAAATTTTCATAATTAATCAAATATTTGTAAAGAATACTATTTGAGCATCAATACATGTTGAAAAACTGATACTTCAGGAGGGTAAAAACTATTTTGAATTGTTGAATTTTGTCTCAATTTTGCTTAGAGCAGGACAACATAGATATTTTTGAGAATCTAGCGCCATCTACTGTCAAGCATATAGTACCATCAACTGTCAAGTCATCTCAGTGTAGAATTTGCCAACTGCTCAATCATGTGTTTATAAGGTTATCATTCATTTTTATCATCAATTGGACTTTGATCTCTTTTTTTCTTATTATACAGTGCACAATTTACCTCTCCTGCAAAACAGCTGGGAAAAGCGGTCAGACATGACGGCTCTCGCTGTATTGTGCAGTTCAATGTAAGCAGTGTATCCATGGAGACCATACTCCGGGTCCACATCATCAAACAAAGCACTGACTCCGGTTGCTGCACATGGACTAGCGGTATGAAAGAGAGATAAGGAAGGAAAAGAAAGACATTAACTGCAAAGTGGGTGTCAGTGCATCTTTTCACACTAAGGACTGTAGCGACAGAATGGCAGTAATAGAGACGGTATAAGAACTGATGAGTCAGGGCTGTACACAGTGCCCAAATTCACCAGAAGATGGAGTTATTACACCACCAAACTATACTGACGGTGATATATAACTGACATTTAGGTTCTGATTTCACACAAACACATCTGTGATTAAAAAAGGGAGAGAAAATAAAAATTGACCACAGGGATTCAGCAAATTGAAATACACACCAAAGTTTGAGAATAATTTTACAAAAAGTATTTGGTTTGACAATGCCATTAAAAGGGGATCATGCAAATAGTCTTTTGAAAACACAGAAAAAAAAAAAATGCAAATGAGAAAACCGATAAGAGGAAATAAAGGCATACCTATTAGACGCATGAAGACTTCTTTCCACAAGTCTGTGATTGTGCAAGTTCACTATGACAAAAGCAATTCCACATTGGTCCTGTATAAGAAGCACAGAGTTGTTGCATTATCAATGAAATATTATTATTATTACAGAAAAACATTATTAATACTACCACTACCACTACTGCTGCTGCTGCTCCTGCTCCTGCTGCTAACAATATTAATATAATCATAATAGGTAACACTTTACAATAAGGTTTATTAGTTAACATTAGACAATGTATTAAATAACATTAACTAACCATGAGCAATACATTTGTTACAGTATTTATTAATCTTTGTTAATGTTAGTTAATAAAAATACAGCTGTTCATTGTTTGTTCATGTTAGTTCACAGTGCATTTAACTAATGTTAACAAATACAACCTTTGATTTTAATAACGTATTAGTAAATGTTGAAATTAATATTAACTAAGATTAATAAATGCTGTATCATTCTTAGTTCATGTTAACTAATGTTGTTAACTAATGGTAACTAATAAACCTTATTGTAAAGTGTTACCTCATAATAATAATAATGACATATACTTAAAGTGTAAGTGTAGCGTTGGTAAGATTTTTACATGTTTTTGAAAGAAATCTCTTATACTCACCAAGGCTTCATTTATTCGATCGAAAATACAGTAAAAACAGTAATATATCTGTTTCCTATTTTTAAAATACTAAAAAAATATACACTCACCGGCCACTTTATTAGGTACACCTGTCCAACTGCTCGTTAACACTTAATTTCTAAGCAGCCAATCACATGGCGGCAACTCAGTGCATTTAGGCATGTAGACATGGTCAAGACAATCTCCTGCAGTTCAAACCGAGCATCAGTATGGGGAAGAAAGTTGATTTAAATGACTTTGAACGTGGCATGATTGTTGGTGCCAGAAGGGCTGGTCTGAGTATTTCAGAAACTGCTAATCTACTGGGATTTTCACGCACAACCATCTCTAGGGTTTACAGAGAATGGTCCGAAAAAGAAAAAACATCCAGTGAGCGGCAGTTCTGTGGGCGGAAATGCCTTGTTGATGCCAGAGGTCAGAGGAGAATGGCCAGACTGGTTCGAGCTGATAGAAGGGCAACAGTGACTGAAATAACCACTCGTTACAACCGAGGTATGCAGCAAAGCATTTGTGAAGCCACAACACGCACAACCTTGAGGCGGATGGGCTACAACAGCAGAAGACTCCACCGGGTACCACTCATCTCCACTACAAATAGGAAAAAGAGGCTACAATTTGCAAGAGCTCACCAAAATTGAACAGTTGAAGACTGGAAAAATGTTGCCTGGTCTGATGAGTCTCGATTTCTGTTGAGACATTCAGATGTTAGAGTCAGAATTTGGCGTAAACAGAATGAGAACATGGAACCATCATGCCTTGTTACCACTGTGCAGGCTGGTGGTGGTGGTGTAATGGTGTGGGGGATGTTTTCCTGGCACACTTTAGGCCCCTTAGTGCCAATTGGGCATCGTTTAAATGCCACGGCCTACCTGAGCATTGTTTCTGACCATGTCCATCCCTTTATGGCCACCATGTACCCATCTTCTGATGGCTACTTCCACCATGTTACAAAGCTCTAATCATTTCAAATTGGTTTCTTGAACATTACAATGAGTTCACTGTACTAAAATGGCCTCCACAGTCACCAGATCTCAACCCAATAGAGCATCTTTGGGATGTGGTGGAACGGGAGATTCGCATCATGGATGTGCAGCCGACAAATCTGCGGCAACTGTGTGATGCCATCATGTCAATATGGACCAAACTCCCTGAGGAATGCTTCCAGCACCTTGTTGAATCTATGCCACGAAGAATTGAGGCAGTTCTGAAGGCAAAAGGGGGTCCAACCCGTTACTAGCATGGGGTACCTAATAAAGTGGCCGGTGAGTGTATATTTATTTCTGTGATGGAAATCCTGAATTTTCAGCATCATCACTCTAGTCTTCGGTGTCAAGATTTTAATATGCTCACTTAATGTTTAGGAAACATTTCTTATTATAAATGTTTAAAACAGTTGTGATGCTTGATATTTGTGTGGAAATCATGAAACATTTTTTTTTTTCTCAAGATTATTTAATTATTAGAAATGATTAGAAAAAACTGCATTTATTAGAAATGAAATTTTTTTTTTAAATTAAAAGCCTTTTAATCTATCCCTTTTAATCAATTCATAGATTAAAAGTATTATAAAGAGATCATCCAAAATGTCAAAACATCAAGACAAATAGATAAGGCAAGAAAAGATATGCCTGAACAAAAAATACATTTGATTGGCACTCAGCCACTGGACAAAATGTATGTTTGTTCCACAATGTACTCAATTCTAGAATTGGAAAATACCTGCCAGAATCCCAAAGTGACGCCCTGTCCAACATATAGCATCTTGACAATCTTGTCTGCAACACACAACTCGCTGTGTTCTCCTTGAAGCTTTATTTTGGACATAACCGATTTCCAGCCCGGCCTGAAAGACACAAGATGGAAGCAACTACATCACTCACTTAAGTTGGAAAAAAAGGTGTATCTTTGTATTTTTGGCATTTACCCCACCTGTAGGGAGCAGGACAATGGAGGGGCACCCGCGACACTCCACAAAGCTCAAGCGAGGTGAGCTGGTTGAAAGAAGGCCAACTGACAGCGCCCCAGAACACAAAAACAGCCGTACTGCTGAAGAAGGCATGAGACTGCTCAAAGGTGCTCCGCCGTCCTCTCCCATCAGTCACTGTGATCTCCCATGTAATGCACAGACTCCTGCCAGACACACATGACACAAACCCCATCTGACACCTCTGCTCTCAGAGCATTTAAGGGCAATGCCTTTTTTGAAGTAGAAGAAGTGGGGAATTATTCAAGATAAAAACTTGAAACGTAAATACATAAAACCTATCAATAAACGAGAGGGCTAAGCTGACAAAAGTAATGTTTAATCTGTGTATTTATTCTTGTTTTCCTGTAAAAAAAAACCTTGAACATCACTTGAAGATGGACTTTTTTTTTACTACAAAAAATGTATAATGTTGAAATATTACACTAAAAGATAACATTGTCTTGAGATTAGAGCTGAACGAATAATCGTTGAAAGAAATCAAAATCGACCCACATGATCTTATTCCTAAATGACTACTATTCGCTATACTGTATCTATTAAACCTTTGACAAACTTATACCGGAACATTCAGATCTCCATTGGTGCCGCCGCTGACCCAGAGAGAGCAGTTGTCATGTAGGTATGAAACAGCTTCACAAACAATCTTTTCAAACACACAGTTTGATTATTTCTGTCTTACAATAATTCAAATGAACCACAGAAGTACTGGGATAAAAGTTTATAGTTCGATATAAACACTGCTCATTATCATTTAAAGAGACATGCACCGAAACGGGTCGCTGTGAACAGAGCTGTTTTTGAGGAGGTAAAAAGAGTATTGTTTTACACAACCATTGAGGAATTTTAACCAAAGTATGTTACAAACTTTACATGAAGACCCTAAAGAATCATACCAACTTGGGTAAAATGGGCATCCGATGACCCCTTTAAACATTTTTAAACAGACTGCAGCAATTAACATTTTTCAGAACTTCTAATTACATGTTATTTCGTTTAGTTGTATATTCAGAAAAGTGGGAGAATCGTGATCCCTATAAAAATAAAATCATGATTCTCAATTTATCCAGAATCATGCAGGTCTATTTGAGATAATACATTTTGAATTGTTTATTATTAAGTGCATTTATTAAGCCAGTAAAAAGCAAAAAATCTAATACATTTTAGTGAATAAAATGTTGCCAATGGTTAATTTTTTTACTTTTAATATATAAAACGTTAATATATGTAAAACTAATATTACAATTTTAAGTCAATTTGACTAATTTTAAAGATGTTAAATTTAAATAGAAAATAAAAATACATTTAAATAAGGTGGAGAATCCAAAGCTGCTTAAATAATAATAATAATAATAATAATAATTAAGCTGTATCTAGTTTTCCTGTAAACAAATCCTGAGGATCCTTAAAAAATATATACATTTACTTGAGAATCAAAACTGTGATAATACTGAAACATGAAAGCTAAAGGATACTGAAAAAAATTCTGATTATTTGTTTATTTTATTAGTGTCATTAACCTAATTAAGAGCGGGGAAATATTTGTTTGGCAATATACAAGCAATGAATGACATTAATTCAGAAAGAAACAGGGCATTAGATTGGGGAAATACTTAATATGATGCATCATGTGTGGGCACTGGCACCATATGATATCAATTAATGCTGTAAAACAAGATACAAGCAGAGTCCCAGAGAGATTAATAGCTGTTGTTTGTGTCTGAAAGTCAGTGGAGATGATTATTACCGAAGTAAATCTCATCCTCCAGTGTCTTTGTAACTGAGGAACCTATGGGGATTTGTCTGGGCAAGAGGTAGAGGCCAAGCAATTTATTTTTACAATTCACCCAGCCTTCTGAGGGGACCACAATTATTTTCATTCCCCCTGTATGCCGCACGCTCTTTGAGTCGAAAAATTGAGTGGCCCGGCAGCTCTAATCAGAGGTTAAGACAACAGCATGCCGTGGCCTGCAGATCATCAAGCGTGTTTCCGTATCCCATCGCCCAGGAGCACAGAGCAAATCTAAGACGCTGACTCTCACACTCACCTTTAATAAGCCCAGACACTGCAGGAGGGAAAAACACACCTTGACATATATTTGATGGGGAAAATGCCATCTTCAACAGATCAGGTCACAACAAAGACGTTATTTTGACTACAAAGTCTTGTTGCATATTACTAAATGTAGGGATATACAGAAAGGCAGTTGAAAGGAAGAAATCAAAACAACTAGAAACGCAGAAACTATAAACTGCAACTAAACTTAGTTTATGCGTGCAAATTTATATATAGAAACATTCAGATTACATGTCACCATGCCAAACCAATGATATTGTTGTATTAAATGAAGGATAAAATAACCAAAAAATGTCAAAGGGATTAAGAGACACTGATTTTAAGATTTATAACCCATTTAATTAGTCGAAAAATCGTGAAAAATCATATAAACTAACTAAACATAAAAGCCACAGTCTCTAACCTTAGGACTTCCTCTGTGTGACGCGGCAGTCCTGAATAAGGGTCGATGCGTTGAAGTTTTTTTCTCCACTTGTTCACATTCAGGCCAGCAATTTCTTTGAAGAATGTGTTTCTCCAGTATCCCTTTGGCCTCTCCTGCACACCTACCAGGCCAAGATCACGTATTATATGACCTTCTTGGTTGGCTTTCTTCTTTTTGGCATGTTCACGTATGTAAAACTGATACCACATAGAACTGCAGGGACATCAGAATGAGAAGAAAATGATTTTAATCTTTCTGCTTTAAAAGAGACAAAAAAAAGAAACATAAATTAAATAAATGGTCTGAAGAAAAACAAAATCACTCACTTGTTGTTTGATAGTTCATGGAAGAACTTGTTGACAAAACTAATGCAGAAAACAGACCCAGCATCCAAGTATGAGAGAATCCTGAGAATGATCTCTGGCGGCATCCTATTTTAAGTCAGATTAAACAAAAGATAGATAGATAGATAGATAGATAGATAGATAGATAGATAGATAGATAGATAGATAGATAGATAGATAGATAGATAGATAGATAGATAGATAGATAGATAGATAGATAGATAGATAGATAGATAGATAGATAGGCCTATAAGCAGTTTAATTATGAATTTCAGAGGCAACTTATTTAACAACAAACAAAACAAGCAAATACACATTAAAAAAAAAACATTTAACTAATTAAACAGTTAGTTTAAACAAACATCAAATACTTTAGGATCACTTGCTCGGATCATACAAATCATAAAGTTACCTACTCGCAAAACTTGCCTTTCTAAGGAGTTTCCACAAGCCTTTACTCTGCGTTTGGATGCCATTCTGTGGACTGATGGGTGTTGTACAGCCATTTTTGTTTGTCTGCTGAGAATATGAAACACAACGGTCTAGCAGAGTTCTGTAATCTGTAGTGCAGAGGCATTAATGGTGCGAAATAACCAAGAAAAGTAACAAACAACCTGGACATGGATTTTGATGTAATAATTGAGTGTTTCTCAGCATCTTGCTTCTTAGTCTTCACGGATTGCGAAGACATAATTCGTATTTCTTCTGAAACGTGTTTAAGTGCTTCTCAAATTGTTATTCATTCAGTCTTTCTCTTCCGGCATCTCGCTGTCAAGGTAACCAGCCGCGCACGCGCATGTGCCAACCAAGCACTACTTACACCAAAGAATGTTGACACAGGACACATTCTCATCTGGTTTATTTTAATGGGTACATTCCGACACACTGGGTAGGACATTAAACAGGTCAGCATAGAATTATAAAATTTTATTCCAGGGAAAAACTACACAAAAATAAAAATAAAACATTGTTGCTACAACTGTTTTTTGTCTACTAACAGGTGACGTGACAATCTGGAGATTCACTGCCCCCAACAGGCCAGGAGCGGTAATGTTTGTTGAAACGGTCTAATCGAGACCTTTTCAAACTAGGATCCAAGGTGCTTATCGTACGTAAACAATTTGACAGTTTAAATAAATGCTTTTTTTTTTTGTGGATTTTATTTTACTAAATGTTCATGCTCTCATTCCTTGCAACATAAATATAGGCTTATTAGATTAGAATATAGTTGTATTTGTTTTGTGTCTTTTATGGAGTTTTTGCTTACTATTGCTGGTTCACTAGTTGTATTGCACTAATTTGTAAAGCTGCTTTGGATGTTTATAGATGCCTTTATATCTTAGAAAGTGTGGTATAAAATCATTATATTTCATGCATGGTAGGGCCAGGGCCGTCGCTAGTGGGGTGAAAGGTGGTGACAATTATAGGGGCCCCCGCTGCCCAGGGGGCCCCACAAAATCCAGCAGTTATACTATTTAGGCCCCTGTTGTATGAATAATTCTAATATTTATATTAGTTGTATGCCTGAGATTTAAATGAAAACCACAAAAACGTGCAATTTGGGTAAATATTTTTCCAAATATCTGCTTCTCTTACCTCCATAAAAATGGTTTAGTCCGACCTAAAGTATTTATTAATTATTCAGTCAGAGTCAGTGACAAACATCAGATGGACCCAATAAAATTGTAAGTCCCACCCCAGCTCGTGAACAGAACCAATCAGAGTTGAGGCGGCATCCTGAAGTTAACGATGAACTTGGTGGAAGAGCAGGAGACTGACTGACTGAAAAATGTCGGGGAAAATAAAACATAAATCAGGCTACCAGAAATGCCAGGAAAAGACGGAGAGGGAGGCAAGGAGAGTGGTTGTATCCCAGTCGATCAAGACGTTCTTAAAGACCGGTTATATATTGTCTTTTCGCTGGGAATTAGAAAACGTCCGTCTACAGTCTGCCGTACAGTCATTTTTTATTATCGGTGCGCGCCGCAATCGACCGAATGATTACGTGGTCTAAATTCCTGTCTTTTTACACTATTGTAAATAGAGTTTTAAAAAAAGTTACACGAGTCACGACGCATTGCATCATGCATCTGACCTGCCGGCTGATGATATTTAAAACATCGAGAAAACACGAATACAACACACTGCACTTGGATGAATAAATGTATTCGCTTTATTTAATAATATTACCAGTTCCATATTATCTTTATTAAAAAATAAGGCAATAAATGTTTTTTTTTAAATTAGACTGCATTCTTGTCAATTTCTAAATGTTTACTTTTTGATTTATGAATTATAACAGACTGATTGGGGGGAAAAAATATTACTTTTTAAAAATTGGTTTTATTATTATTTAACAATTTCTTGCTTTTTGTTAGTTTTTATTAGTTGTAATTTTTTATAAACATTTAACTTTTAAAATAAAGGTTTTACAACAACATCACCATCTTCTGTTATATGTAGGTCTCCATGTTCATCTATTGTACAGTATATGATATTGGTGGAGGGTGGTGGGGGCCCACATCAATATTTTTTCAGGGGGCCCCGAATCCAATAGCTACGGCCCTGGGTAGGGCCTACATTAAAAAGTTGAAAACGTTTTGGCCTAATTTATGCAACAGAACCTAAAACCTAAATAGACAGACAAACAGACCGACAGACAGAACCGACTGACCAACGGTAGGCGTCATTTACGGGGGGGACAGGGAGGACATGTCCCCACCACTATTTGCCAAGGTCGATTTTGTCCCCACCACTTTTGAAACATCACGCGGTACGGATGTACCAATACAAGTAAAACATCTCCAGATAACTAGCAGAGCATTCGTTTCGTTCGTTTGTTAAATAAGAGGCGATCTAGCGCTAACATGTGTTGTTTTTTTAATCAAGTGATCATGTGCTCGTTGCCTCTGTGATCAGTGGCGCGGATACAGTCAGTGTTCTGTTGTGGCTTGCGCACGCGCCGCAATGTCTTCACTCGGACGCGCGCTTCAATCCGTTGCGGAGATTCTCTATTCGTTCTGGTGAAATCACAAAACAAAATGCAAACAAACGTGTCCCTGCTTGATATACAACCACTGATAAACATTATCGTTATGAGCTGGAAAAAAACTATTCGAGTGCGGATTAGAACCCAGAACCTCCGACACGCTTGGCAAAGAATTCTGCCACTGGACCATTACAGTATACATAGGTCTATATTAGGCTGATCTATGTATTTATTCGCGTGAAAATTCATGACACTAACAACATATTAGATCTCATTGTACGACCAATTAAACCCAAAGTAGCCTACTATTTAACCCCCCCACCCATCACATTTTTGGTCGGACATCATCACATCTTTGTATACATTTTTATTTATTTACATCAGTAGGCCTAAGCTACAGGACATCGTCTTTCAAAACATGACCTGCGCGAAAGAGAAAAAAAATGAATGTGTCATTGTACCCAGCACTTTTGAAAATGCACTTCCGAATGCGTCTCTGTCCCCAGCACATTTCAAACCAAACTGACGCCCATATCTCACGGCAATTCATACGTTTTTTCAAAAAGCGTCATCAGGAAGGACCACCTCAAACCTCACCCCTAAACCGACCCACTGGAGTCTAGACAAATTGTACGAAAACCTGAGAGTGAAGTTGTACGAATTCGTATGAAAAAGCCACCTCGTAAAATACGTACGTATTGTTGTGAGATTGCGTTGGACCGACAGACAGAACCAACCAACAGAGAGACAGACAGAACCGACAGACTAACAGAACCGATCGACAGACAGAACCAACTGACAGACAGACCGACAGACAGAACCGACCGACCAACAGAAATACAGTCAGAACCGACAGACAGACAGAACCGACCAACAGACAGACAGAACCTACAGAAAGACCAACCGACAGACAGAACCTACCGAAAGACCAAACGACCAACAGACAGACAGACAGAACCGACCAACCAACAGACAGACAGACAGAACCTACCGAAAGACCAACCGACCAACAGACAGACAAACAGACAGAACCGATCGACAGACAGAGCCGACTGACAGACAGACCCGAACGATCGACAGACAGAACCGACTGACAGACAGACCTGACCGATCAACAGACAGACAGGCAGAATTGACATTTGAATAAAGCAGAAAATATCTAAAGGAATGTTTGTGGGGTGGTGGTGATGGCACAGTGGATAAGACACATGCCTTTGGTGTGAGAGACCCGGGTTCGAATCCACTGCGAGACACCAATGTGTCCCTGAGCAAGACACTTAACCCCTAGTTGCTCCAGAGGCGTGCGACCTCTGACATATATAGCAATTGTAAGTCGCTTTGGATAAAAGCGTCAGCTAAATGTTTGTGTTTTACTAGGAATTACTAGGCGATCTCAAGAGTGATGGTGGTCTGCTGCCTGTCAGATTAAATAGTCAGAACCGACCAACCGACAGACAAATAGATAGACAGACAGAACCGACCAAACGACAGACAGACAGACAGATAAGACGGATAAGACAGACGGATAGATAGCTAGATAACTATAGATTACTTTTTAGTTATAACTAGAAACAATTACTTTTTCTTATTAGTTTATGGTTGTAAAATATTTTGCTTGACATTTGAATAAAGCAGAACGTATCTAAAGGAATGTTTGTGCATGGCGGTCTAGGCGATCTCAAGAGTGATGGTGGTCTGCTGCCTGTCAGATTAAATAGTCATATAACATTCACAATAATTCACCGTTTCGCGTGGTTGGGGAGAGCTGCTCTCTCTGGGCATGAACAGCTCCGGGCCCCGTGATACACAGGCCCAGTGCCCACCCAGCTTGACATTTGATGTTTTCTTTCTTTTACTCGCCCTTCTGCAGGCCCCAGGTCAGCCACGGCTCTCAGATACTCAACGTCAACCTCCACAGAGCCTGTCACTCTGCACCCACAGTGTGATGCTTGTCAAAAAAGGTGCATGGAGAGTCTGTGAGGAAGGATGATGTTGACTATGACCGGGCCAGTAAACATGCATGATCTCTCAGTAGTACACCTAACAGTAAATGGACACTAAGCATGGTGTTGCTGGTGAAGTTTATTTGTAATGTATTTTAAAACCATAGCTATTTATATGCAAGAACTGTTAATAACATATGGCTGGGATGGCATTGATTGTTCCCTTTCAAGGGAACTTCGAGCTGCGAAATATTTCGGCTTTGTAAAGTGCATTTGGCGGCAGGTCAGGCTGCGTCGTGTCTGCATACAATGTCTATATTGCAGGCATATACCAGGCTGATTTGCTAAAGGACGTGAGCGTGAGTGAGGAGGCAGTACTGATGTGGTTCGAGAACTGCGTCAGGCTGTCGATTTGTGGTAAAATGATTTTTTCCAACATGAAACAGAAAGAGAAAGCTTTCTTTTAGATGATCCTCTCTCCCCTGCGGGGTTATTCAGTGACTTAGTTAATACTGTCATTGATAAGTTCAGGAAGAAAAGAAGCAGGCAGCAGCTTTTAAAAGGTTTCTTCCATTAAAAGTTCACGTCCACGGGGCTGCTGGGCGGGAGCAGCCCCGGCCGTCCACGAGCTCATCGCATAGGCGCAGCAAAGCAGAGTATCGCGTCTTGCGCTCCCCCTGCTGGACAGTGGGACCAGACGCGGCACTCTCAGCCAAAGCTTTTTGAAAAATTGAGCGTCAGCGTCAGTTCTGGCAGGCCAGGTAGTCAAGCCGCTGCTTATGCTATTTGCT